ACGAGGGGAGCGGGGGGCGGCGGAACAAGGGGTTCAATGATGAGTGGGGGCGTGGAGGGCCAAGGGAAATACAGGGCTTGGGCGCGCGCGCGCGCGCGCACACACGCACACTCTCACGTGCGCACACACATGCGCACATGCACACACCCGGACACATCTACACACCCGCACACTGCCATGCGCATGAACCCCACCTTGATGTCGCAGTGGCAGATGCGGATGCTGTGGAGGTAGGACACGGCCTCAGCCACCTGCAGGGCCACCTCCAGCAGCGCGGCCATGTCGACGCGCACGACACCGGCGGCCCCTGCGCTCATCCGGTGGCGGAACACGCCGCGCTTCGCGGCCTGGCGGAGGGTCCCAAGGTTGCAGTACTGCGGGAGGGGGGCAGGAGGGCAAGGGGTCAGGTTGCAGCTCAGGGGGGTGCTGACGGGGGAGGGTGGTGTCGTGAAGCTGCCACGATGAAGGTAGTTCAGGCATTGCAGACAGGTCAATAGCACGGCTTCCACGGCACAGTGCATCAGTGCAGGATGAGGATCATGAGAACAACCAAGGTTGGAACACCTCTGCAACCTCGTTCGCAACCTGACAACCCTCTGGCCCCGGGCCCACCTCCATGACTATGATGCTGCAGGTCTCTGTATCCTCGGGATCCTCAAACGGCAGCAGCCGCCGGTAGCACGGCGGAGGCGGGGCCGACGAGGCGCTGTCGCTGAGGCTGCCCGAGTGCCGCTGGCCGTTGAAGCGGGTAGCTGTGGGTGGATGGGTGATTGACATTCAAAAAAGGGGTTAGGAGGGGCCTGGCAGGAGCAATCAGGAGCATCCTGAGTGCCGGATGAAAGCATACAAAGCATGCTCTGCCCGAGAGCAGAGGGGCAGCCTTCAGAGGGCAGCGATCTAGAGCGTGCGCCGACGATGGTGATCGCAGGCAGGTGGGTGCGCTCACGTGCCGGGCTGGCGGCCTCCACGAGGTCTGTGAGGCAGGCAAAGGCCTGGATGATGTGGGGGTGGGACACTGTGGACAGCACAGCCATCTCTATCGCCACCATCATAGCCTCCTGCTCGGTGGCGCGCTCGTACATCACCTGGTGGTTGTAAGTGTGTGTTTGTGATTGGGTTTGCATGCGTGCGTGTGTGTGTGTGTGTGTGTGTGTGTGTGTGTGTGTGTGCGCCCGGGTATCAGCGGGTGTGTGCACAGGCGTGTCAATGTGGGGATGCATGCACACATCCTTTTTGAGGCCGCATGCACTGCATCCAGCGCCCCCCTGCCCAGCGCGCCCGCCACGTGCGACTCACCTTGATCGCAGCAGTGACCTGCTTCCAGGAGCCACGCCACACGGAGCCGTAGCCGCCGGCGCCGATGACGTCACCCAGCACCAGCTCGTTGCACGCCGCCGCAGCGAGCTGCGCGTGCCGGTCGCTGGAGCTGCGCTCGAGCGCCGCGGCGGTGGACATGTCCCCGCTGCCCAGGCGCTTGCAGTTCATGATCTCCTGCTCGACCGCCTGACACAGCAGGGGCGATGGGTGGGGTAGAAATCGCGTGTGAGGTGATGAGGGATTCAGTCAGACGCTCAGGATGAGGGCGAGCGCAGCGGACCGACCGCGAGCACCTGGGTGGCGCTTGAAAATCCCGCGCGGGGTGGACAGGCAGCGGCACTTGGCGCCGCAACCAGGCCGCAGCCTCCGCCCGTACCTTAGTCATGGCGCTGGTGCATAGCCGCTTCGTGTTGCACCGCGCCAGTTGGCTGGTCGGCGCGTCCACCCCGCTGCGGCTGCCCGACCCACAACTCCACATGCTGCTGCTCGCCGCGTCGCCGCTGGAGCTGCGCCACAGGTGCAGCTGGTCGACCATCGTGCTTGCGGCAGAGCTGCCCTCTGTGGAGACGCGGGACAACGGGCCGAGGCTGGGCAGGCCAAAGGAGTGGGTGCGGACGGCGCGCGCCTCCTCCCATACGGCCTCGAGGGAGTCTTGAAGGCGCTGGTGCAGCAGCGGGGCGATGAGCTTGATGAATCCCTGCGCGTTCACGGTGAGGGGGCCGGGGACAAGAAAGGAGGGGGTCGGAAGGGTTGGAGAGGGGGGGGGGGTCGGCAGGTGCTGACGAAAGCATTTGCGGACACCTGACTGCCGCAGGTGCCTCGTGTCGGGGGCCGCAACGGGGAAGAACACCGGAGGGCAGCAAGAAGTGTATCTGGTCGGTCACACGCGCCAGGGCATCTTGCAAGACAAGGGGGATGGCATCAGGCAGGGCGCTGAGCGGGGGGGAGAGGGGGTGGGAGGGCGCACCAGCAGGGGCCCCTGGATGTGCGCAAAGTCGTTGGGCGCCTCCAGTGTGAGGTACAGCGCCGCCAGGGGGGCGTCCTCGCAGTAGACAAACGGCACCACCAGCAGCGACGCCACCAGCTGCGCCGTCTGGGTGAAGATGTCGCGCGCCGGCCGCGCGCTGCTCTGCATGTACGAGGTGCAGTCGCGCACGAAGCGCGCCTTGCGCAGGGAGACGGCGCTGGCCAGCAGCGTGCCAGGGAGGTCTATCTCCGTAGCCACCATGGCGCTGCCTTCGTGGTACGCCGCGGCGCCGCCGTCTGGACAGCAGTTTGCGAGCCGGAGGGGGCGGGGGAGGGGTGGGTGAGGGTCGGTTGAGTTTGGCTTAAGAGTGCAGGTGCGTCGAGTGGGCGGAATCAAGGCGCTCCTGGGTTGAGCAACCAGCCGCTTGGAGCCGGCGAGCGCGGCAGGCACAGGGTGCGCAGCAAATTATGGCAGGGTCGCACCCCGCCACCCAGGGCGCCGGCTCGCTGGAGCCGCCCGCACCTTGCCCGGAGGCGTCTGCGGCTGCAGCCTCGAAGACCAGGGCCTTAGTGGCCTCCCGGTCCAGGATGGCGAAGCGGACGCCGACGCGCGCGTTGCAGGCGCGCTCTAGGTATGAGCCAGCGCCCTGGACAAACGATGGCGTGTGAGTGGGTTTGGGGGGAAGGGGAGATGGGTTCGGACAAGGCTCAGATTGAAAGAGACGCAGGTGAGGCCGCGAGCTGAGGCGGGGTCGGGCAGGTGTGGCCAGGCAGGTGTGGACTGCAGCAAGTGGACTGCATAGTCGTGGACTGCACTGTGGTGCGGCTTGCCCAGGCAGTGGGGGCCGAGAGGGAGGGGGCAAAGGGCAAAGGGCACGCGCAGGAAGGCTGAACACCAGGAGCAGCCGGCTCTCCAGCCCCAGCGCACCCTCAGCAGCTGCCCTATGAGCGTGATGCGGTCGTCCGTGGCGGCGGTCTTGGACAGCAGCGCGCACGCCGCGGCGGTCTGCCAGTGGCGGACCTGGTGAACGAGCGCCCCCGCGGCCACACTAGGCCAAACATGCCACCTGTTGGTGGGTGCGCGGCGCCAACACAGACAGCAGAGATTTAGGGTTTAGGGGCGGCTGCACGTTGCTAGACAGCGGTGCACTTGGATTACATTCGGACGGGGTAATCACCTGGGTCCTGCCAGGCTGCCGGGGACGTCCTTCGCGATGGCCAGCACACCCCAGGGCCGGGCCACGGGGCCGATTGGCACCGCGAGGAAGCTGCGCAGGCCGGCGTGGCGGGACAGCGCCGCCC